TGCGCGAGAATTCTTCGTAAAACGCGTGACCTGTCTTTTGACTCGTACATAGTTTGTCCATTCCACAATTGAAATAAACTCCATTATGCCATGGTTACCAAAATTCGCTTGCACGCTTCCGCGGTAATGTAAATTGAGCTTTACAGATTCATCGTACCTCTCATATTTACAAGATAAAGCCAACGGTACTTTTCCTTGTCCGTTCTTTAGTCTAACGAAATATATTCTTTGTAACAAGCATGTTACCATGAGGGTTCTTTTATATGGTGTATTTTTCATCACAAATTACCAACATTGCACTCAAAACTACGCGTTTGGTAGACAACTCTGAAATGAGCGAGTTTACGTGCGTTAAGTTTGTAAAAACACTGGTGGTTTTTCAGGCACTAATAAATATATCCCATTTACTGAATAACACGGCCTTTGGAATAGATGTCCCAAAATAATTAACTAAATAGATATTCTTTTTACGGTAAAAAACTTTCTGTTGGCTCAAACTCTCGCCGCGAGGAACCAAAAAAACTCAAATGAAAGAGACAGAAACGTTGGTAATATTGTTAACCAGTAGTACCAACTTTACGGAAAGATTTTTTCCCTCGGACATGAATACGAAGTTTTATAGACAAATTTAATCTGTTATATTTATTATTTAAAAATTAATGTACTCCATTATCATATCTACGAACAAATATTAGACAAAATATAAAAATAGGAAAAATAAAAAAATAGTTTAAACAAACTGTAACAAGACAATGATATTGTAACGTAGGTATACCTGCATTTATTTTTAACAATTTTTTTTAATTAGTCATTTGAAATTTTATTATTAGGACTATTTAGCGTAGTTACACACTAGGCATACAATCCGTGATCTGAAGTGGGAGTTGGCTACTTAGTTACAGTCCGTCCGTATGTCTGTCACATGCGTTTTTTTTTTATAATATACGATACACAACAGATCTGTTAAATAACAACCGTCGCTGATGTGTGGCCTAGTGTGTGACCACCCTTAACGTGTACTTTAAGGTTTTTGAGGAGAGACACGTAGGAATGATTTTTTATGACCAATGAGACTGAATTTGTTTAATAGTTAACATTTAATGTCGGGAGATTATTTATTTTGTTTATTGTAATACATATTGTGATTGGATAATTAATTGAATTTATATTTTATGTAATGTGAAAAAATGTGTTTACATTTCTGCCATGACATTGTCGATGTAGTGTTTTTGTGTATCCTATTTTTACTTTATTAAATAATGAATTTATTAAATATAGAAACAAATGTGTTATTTGAACACAAAGGAAAACGCTACAAAATGCTGGAAGTAGGTTTTTGGTTAAGCAACAGATCGTTAAGGTAAACATCTCACGGTACTGATTTGATACAAAAGCTTTCAAAATATATTTTTTACGCGCTATACAATAAAAGAAAGAAAATACAAATTAATAGAAAAACATGCTAAATGGGACTATGGTTCGGCTACAAAGTATTATATAATAACTAAATTGCCCTTGCCGATATTCTTTTATTGATGTGTTAGGCTTAACTCACACTGGCGCAGAGTCGAAACGTCGCGTCGCCTCCTGTTTTTTAACTACAACGCTTGGCGACGCGCGTCGACACGCTCCACATTAGTGCGCCCGGATCCAGTGTGGTCGGCGTCCGACGCCTCACTGCGCTCAAGTGACGCGCGGCGACGCCCGTTTCCGTATTTGCATAACACAAAGTTGTACCTTAATAGTGGGAAAATAGAGATGAATATACTGTAGGCGAGAAACATGACGCGTCGCGACGCTTCGACTCTGCACCAGTGTGAGTTGAGCTTGAAAATTCATTAGCGGCAACAAGAAAATGTAAACTTTTGTGCTTACATCACCTGTTTATAATCTTTTTTTTTTCACGGAAATAATTTTGCACCGGAAACTCATTTGGTGGGACCAATTGAATCGTATTTTCGAATTGTCGCATGTGGTGATCGTTCTACCTTAACATTATTGTGAAAAACACTGAGGTTTGGACACGAATATGTATATTTTAATTGTTGTTTTTTCTCAAGTGTGTGTGTGTGTATGTGTATGTGTTAATTTTTAGTGCGTTTTTAATCATTACGGGCTATGGCAGAATATCAACGGGGGCTATAAACTCCATAATCCTCTGCTATTTATTATTCATTTGTATTGTCTTTCTTTTTTTCATTGTATTGCATTAAATAAAGTAATTTTGGTTTTAAAGTTTTTGTAGGACAACAGCACCGTGGCATATTACCTTAAAAGTTAAGTTTCTTTAGCAGTTAAAAGACATTTCAAGGCTGTTTTTTGATCTTATAAGTATTTATTAAAATTAGCCTATGATGATTGGTGATTTAATATAGACATAGTATCCAAAAAAATCGTACAATTGTTATAACGTAGATGTGTCTGTATTAACTTGCCTATTGGCGTTTAATGCTCAATAACATATGATGGATCCTGCAATGACGTGGAGAAACTTAAGATGTGAATTAGTGTGGTTTAGTATATAACAATAAATTGTTGTTTGAGTTTTACGATTTTATTGTCATTTTGTTCCAGATTATTTTTTATAACTTGGAAATTTTCCGAGATTTTAGTGTTTATGTATTCTTATTTATTTTTAAAGTGTATATAGCTTCGTAGTAACGAAAGGTAAATGGGCAATGTGGCTTAGAGCTAATATTTTCAGTACCATTGTCGGAAATACATAAAAAGTATTGTCTTGCTGTTTAAATTTTAGAATGGGATAATCTATGTTTTGGTGGAAAATCTCCGAAAATGATACTAGGCAAAGTCACTCTTTAACCTTAACTCATCATCTTAACTATATTACCTTTTGTTAATACGAAACATAGCCCACCTTATATTGAGTTAAATCCATCAACTTTACTGCGAACAAAGAAACTTGAGGCTATTCGTTCTATGGGCTCCTTCAGAGTTCAGACGCGGGCGCAGCGGCGGGTGCGGGCGTGCGGGTCTTGGCGTCTTCCCTTTCACAGTGCCGAAGCGGTTACGAGCGGGTAGGTCCACAACAGACGCTAGACCAAGCACTGTGAAAGGTACGGGTGGACCGAGCCAATAGATCTACCCGCAAGGCCCGCGCGCCCGCCTGAACGCAACGGGCGTCTACGTACATTCGATTTACACGCACCCGCGGCCGGCGCCACCCAGAATAAGGTCTATATGTTCTAGTCGTGAATGATCTCTTGTCATTGCAGGCCGCCATCGCCACTGATTGTCATGTTACGCTCTGTTTAATCATGGACCAGTAACCTAAAAGGACTGCTCATCGCGATTCAAAAAGTCTTAGTCGGATATTTAGTACCTTTTAGATTTCGCGACGAGTACCGAATAGCTATTTTTGCAACTAATTTGTTTTGCATTGACGAGCTCCAATTTATCAAAGCTACTCTAATTTCTAGTGATAACAAACAATTCAACTAGATGGCGCTTACACACTGCCGGCTAATCTTATAGTGTGTAGATTTGCATTCCCGTCATATTTAAGAAATTAATCATAGAAGTAATGCTAAATCATCTAAAAACATTAAACAAAAAAAAAAATATTCGGTTCTATATTCTGGCTAATTGTATCTAGTAAAGTTTTGCAAAATTGCCCCCGAGTGTATTCACCGCGGAGAACAGTGACCCCGCCACTCGCTTCACCGAGCGAATCGTAATCTTTCGCGATCGATTATTTACCTATTTTTTTTAAATTATGTTTATGTATTAGTATTGTTATAATTAACTAATTATTTACATTAGCTAGAAAACTTGCCTGAAAAAAGATTTTTTGTAACTTACATTTGGTACTGGTAGAGACGATTTTTGCGCGCAATTCTTCGACTCTCGTAAATCGCACGATGCGACCGAAAGTCAGTCGTCATTACGCCCGTGAGTCGGCAGATAACTTATTTTGCATCGTCGTGTGAAACAACCATACTTTACTCACAGTTACGATCTGTAGTATAGGGATTAGCAGTCCTCTTCAGTTATTGGTCCACGGTTTGATAAACAAATCTAGCTGAAATTACGCTCGCGCAACTTTTGTAGATCGTAACATGCTTTGTGCTTCTTTTTGCGCTCACATGTGACGCTTGCAACGCATTTTCAGTCACCACGATCTAGCGTCATTGCGCGCACGTGTAAAATCAGCTATGATATAACGTCTACTCTAACCTGTCACACGCTCTGGACTCCGGAACTCTTATCGGTTTAATTTCACCGGCTGTCATACTCTTACATAATTCCTATCGCACAATAGACACTGTCGACAAATGGATATTAGGAAGATTGTTATATATAAGGGCGTGGTTACCGTTCTACCAATGGCGTGTTCCACTGGTATTATAGCGAGTCGTGAAAAGGCAGAATGATTAAAAATTAAAACAATGTTTATATTTTTAAATACCTTTTTACTATAACAATTCGGCTCCTAATAGAGTATAAAGAATTTCGATAATCATAGACAATATTTGTTGAAAATTAACCAATTGATTATTTGTGAGTAATTTCTACACACAGCTCAAAACTCTCGTGATATAACGGATACTACGTCATAAGACCTAGCAGTTAAGTTCCATTTGCCCATTTTTTGCTTCGAGTATAACTGAATCGCGTGTGATTATACTGCTAGGATATTTAGAGAAATCACGGCAACGCGGCATCCCAGTAGCAAACAAAACTATGTATAACATTTTTATATATTGATAATTGGTAGCCACTTTTCACTCTTGTATTGAATAGCACCTATTCTATATCTTTCCCTCAATAATATAAAGTGACGTACCTAATTTAAAACAATTAAACACAAATCAACAAAACAAACTAGTATTCTGTTTTGAGATAAAATATTTGTAATTTTTTTCAGACTGTTACCGATTCTTAATAAGATAATTTTATAAAAATGTTCCAGTGTTTTTTTTTGCTGTTATAACCTTTTGTAAAATATCAAGATTTGACTAAAATTCCTTTTGTACATAATACCATGAAAATAGAGTGCTTGTAGTTTAATTAGTTTAGCCAGTTTGTAAAGACAATTTAAGCTGCCCAAGTATATAACGTCTCCGAAATCGACGACAAAACGAAAGTAGCTTATTTAATTAAAAAAAAAAGCAATAATTTAATATAGGGTGAATTTTAGTGCTCATTTGATTATAACATACGCCCTCTACGTTTCGTAGTCGATTTTAGGAGACACCTTGTAAAGTTATAAGTGGTGCTACCTAATATTATAAAAAGATATTATTACATAGAATAGACCACGTTCACATAACGTAGAAGTAGGTGTTGCTTACAAACTTCGCGTTTGAGAATGTAACCGCGTGTGTTTTATACATTTTGTATTATGATGTGTTGTACCAAACGTTGAGATTGCATTTCAAGATAATACACACAAAAAATTGATGGTTGTTTCGTTTTTTTACATCCTCACTGAAAGATTAGAAATATTGACTGACAGGTCGTATTATAACGGTCTAAATTGTTGATAATGACTGCCCGCTCATAGCTGCCTGCATCATGGATATAGACTGACAGCTTGTATAATAGTTGCCTATGTCGTGGATATAGACTGGCAACTCGTATTATAGTTGCTGCGTACGTCGTGGATGCGGACTGGCAGCTTGTACTATAGCTGCATACGTCGTTGATAAAGACGGCACGTCGTATTATAGCTGCCTACGTCGTGGATACGAAATGGCAGTTTGTATTATAGCTGCTTCCGTAATGAATCTAGAGGTCATTTTTATGGACGTCTTTATATCTAGGGTTTTTTGAGGTCTTTATTTCAGTTAAAAGTTCAGTGTGCTCTAATAAGTTGATCCCGAAACGTCACACACTAAAATATATGTTCTGGGAATAAGAACTAACTTTTAAATGAAATGGAATGAAAATAACTTTTAGCTAGCAAAGATTTTCAAGTTCTATGATATGACGTGTCGGTATTAACTTGTCTCAATAATATGATTATATAATAAAGTTGTCAAGTTTTATTTATTTCATGCTTCCTCATTCATCCTCACGCATTTTTCATCATCATAATTTGTTAACGCTTAATGCTGAAACTAAAAATGTATTATTATCTAGATTTGCTTGAAGTTATATTATTTTGTTTCTTAGATTCAGTCTCGTTAGGTTTTTTCATTTTAGGCATTGTTCTTATTATTCCAGTAGGCATTGAAAGGGCCCTAAAATACCTACTATGATTAATAAATTACAATGCCATATTAGACAATAAACATTTAAGTACCATTATGTGATCTATTCCAACGCTGATAAAATCTAGCGATTGAATATACAGAACCGATTTTAAAATGTATTTATTTGTTACACAAGAATTCGGGTAATCAAAAGAACTCCTAGAAGTTCAGCAAACTTAAACAGTATAAAATTAAAGACGGCACAGCATCTGTTTCTAGAAAACTATAATTAATTATCTGTCAAACTTGAGTTGCGATTTTTATATATTTTTTCCGGACAGGGCCCTCTCTGCCCTTAACACTTATTACTGTTATTACACTACCCGATTTCAAAGGATCCTAAGGGCGCATTCCCACGATGTCCTCACGTTTTGTTTATCGTTGGACGACTGTCGTGCTGGCCTGTCCCCATATCACGAGTATCTGTCGTGTCTGTCTAGCTGTTCCCACTGGACGACAATTTATCGTTTCACGGCAGCCGCCTTGTCGTTTGCACGACAGAGTCGTTTAATGCACTGTAGTTGCCTCTATGTTCCTTTGGAAGCCAGTAGTGTGTTTTCGCTTCCTTGTGAAATGGGTGAAGATGAAATTATAATAATGTACTTTTTAAAAAGACGGAAGAGGAAGTAAACAAAGAAAAGAAAGTTTTAAGTATATGCAATGTTATTAAAACTGAAATGTGATGAGAGAAAATTTTGGAACTATTTAAGAATTTAATAATTTGTAATAATGTCATTGACTTACAAATAAAAATAATGTGTATAATGAAATTTGAACAAAATTCACAACAAATATTTAGTAGTCAATATGTTTTGCCCTCGATTTCGGGCATTAATGGGTTTTAACCCGACTTAAAGCCGGCGTTAACAAAGAGCTGGGTTAAAACCCGGGCCCATCTCTGCCTACGACCCAACGCTAGTGCAATGCGAGACGACGGCGCGGGGTACTCGAGGGGAGATTGGGGAGCAGAACACGCGCAGACAACGATACTTTAATCGTGACGACAATAGTAGCTGCGACTATCTGTCGTCACGTTTTTACCGCGGTGTTTTATTTATCGTCGGACGACTGTCGTTCTAACTCTTCCCATTATCACGACGGTCTGTCGTCGTAACGATAAAAATCGTGAACGACAGTTAATCGTGTCGTTCTATATGTGAACAACTTCACTTAAATATACAAGCCACGACACTAAACTGCACGACTTTTTGTCGTCACAACATAGTGGGAACGCGCCCTAATCTAACTTAGGAAGGTGTAATAGAAGTTAGGAAATTATGGTCCGTATTTAGGGTGACTTACATGTAAGTTAATAAGACCGACGCCCTACCTGGGGGCCACGTCCATTCTTGAAATCGCCCTTGAAATCCGGTAGGTAATAAGCTTTTTAGATGGGTAACCAGCAGGTTTGCAGCATGTCGCTAATAAAATTGACACTTTACCTTTCACCTTTTTTGACGTGGCATATGAGCGTACTGCCTACCTACCTAGCAGAAGAGAGCGCTTATCCCGATACGCAACGACGGCAGATAAATTGTTTTCTCACACCGGAGAAATGAACGACCATAAGGTGCCTGCTTAGGCACGGTACTTGGTTGTGTCGTCGCGGTCAATAAAGACGCTTTGCCCGACTGCTGAAGGAACATTTTCTATGGTTAGTCAGAAATTGATGCCAGACTTTTAATTGTTCGAATATAATCTACACAATATTCCTTCTAGGTTCAAGTGGTTGGCAGATATGTTCAGTGTACCAGAAGAATCGACTGTACCCATCCTAACTCGACCTTCGGTAGACTGCACCCCAGAGAAGACTCTCCCGGAGAAACTAACAGTCCAGGGACAGAATGATAGCGAGGATCAAAACCTGCATTTGAAATCGGAATAAAATATGACCTTAACAATCTTAATGCCCGCCTACACGGGTACTTTATCGCTTGGAAACTTGTGCGTTTGTATGTATATATTACGTATGATACTGATTGAAAATGTGACAAATCTAATGCAATATTCCCTTGCCATAGTTTAGGTTAGGTACTTTATAGTATAACATACTTCTAAGTGGGTCACTACAGAGGCTCTGTAACTAGTATTCACTTAATAACATCTGCTTTCATTATCTTTAAACCCTATACCTGATACAGGAACACTATTACCTAAACTGTAGCACCACTGTCTCTCTGTGTTTAGGTCACGGTACAAAGACAGCACATGCGTGTGTATGAGCCCATAGCAAAAGTAAATATGATATCATGTAATATATTTATTATAAAGCAGGACTGTGGTTACACGCTTGTCTGTAACTAGTGAAAAATCTTGTTATTAAAATTAACCACTTATTAACTCAGCTGACAAGCTAGACGGCTTTGTCAATATTCGCTAAACAACTTTTGAATTTTACATGTTTTCAATAAAAAGAAAGGATTCATTTTTTTAATTTAGGCTTAATATTTAAGATTATACAAATATTACCAATCTGTGATGCTTAGTTTATTTTTTTGTAATGTACATTATTGCTATTTTTTTAATTGTTATTATTAAGAATTCATGTTGCTCCTTCAATAATAAAATAGCATTTTGAAAAGTGAGTTTTGTTAAATAGGCAAAATTTATTTAAAAAAATATAATATTCTATAATATAGGGTCATTTGTAAAATACTGACAACCTTGCAGAACTATGTTACTATTAACATCATTATCATATGAATGTTTATACTATGACTTTTAATAATGTATCAAATATTTTTGTACAATTTGTTTTTATGTAAAGTAGGGTGGGGTAGCCCTGGCGGATGCTTGAATGTCTGGACTTCCAGTTCCTACCAAATACAGATAGTACAACAAAAGTTTATTTCTGAAAAATTTTATTGTTTTGTCAAAAGTCATGGAACAAAAATTGTATTTTATGATGTTACTAATATAGTAATGTGAGGTATAGCATTCTACAAATAACCTTTTTATATTTATAAAAAAAATTCTATTTAATATGAAAACCAATAATTTGTTTTATTTTATAAGTTATTTTTTTTTTATTTCATTAGATTCCCAAACTTTACTTTTCGAATTTATTAATGCGGGTGTGGTGAAGTACAGATTGTCGGAACACTGTAATTTTTTCAAAAGAACAAAAAAGCAATGGTCCATTTGCATTGATGCAACTGTTATCATTCTATAACACTGTGTAACAATATTATCAATAGTGTGACATAACAGTAAGGTGAATTAAGTATTGAAATTTCGTACGGCATATCTGACGCTCTAAATTTAATCTATCAATATGGCTATTCAGTTTTTAATTATAAGACAAAACAAAATTTGTTATTCATTTATTTCATTCTCCACATTCAAATAAAACTTTCCTCGCTGTCTTCCTTCAGCTTTTAAAATTAACTTTCTGGAGTTATTCCGTATGACTTCCAAGCAATAGTTGTTATTTAAACCAAGAATAAAGCCTAGATTAATAACATCATGTACATCTCTAACTTGCAAATTATTTTCAGCACTACTAGTTAAAATGATATTCTTTGATTTACCTATGGCGTGGTATGTATGTGCGGTACTTATTATATTCTTTCTTGATGTAGAATCTTTAATTGCTGGAGCGTACATAAGTTCAAAGAACATACCTCTTTCTATAGCTAGTCTGTACAACTTTCGGCTTATTTTATATGGAAGTCGTGTCTCTGGTTCAAAGGTAATTATGTCAAAGTCCATAGTATTACAAACAAATTGAAATGCTTGCAGTGTTTTAGGTACTACAGCAATGATGTCATATTTTTTGAGGTTTTCTGAATTAGTAAGTTTGTAAGAAGAACTTGCATCAGAGAGTTCTATAGTTACCCTTTGTAGAATATTTAGATTAGTAGAGGCCACAATTTCTTTTGGGATGTCGACAGGAGCAGGTATGTAGTCTTTCTTTTCTTTCATTTCTCCTTTCTTTTTCTTCTTCTTAGGCTCGTCACTGGATTCCTCCACATGAGAGTTAAGGGCTATAGTATTAAACCCAAATTTCTCAAACAGATCCAAATATTTTAAATCATAATTTCTGCTAACCGACAAATCGCAAAAGCCCCAATTTTTGCACGACATTTTCGCACCTGAAAAGCATCAACAGTATCAATGATTAATTTATAAAAACATTTGTAGGTTATGTCCTTTTAAACGAGAATGCATCGCAAGTCTATATTTGCAAGTTTTAACTTATATTCATTAGGTTTCCCACTTAGTCAATCTATAATTAAGAAATGTCATTGTAAAGTGAAAATTGAATCAAAGTAATTTAAAAAAAATAGAAGCTCACATCAAACAATCGCTCACACAAAACATCACATTAATTACAAAACATGTTGGCTGACATATTATTTGTAAATAATACACAGGTTGTCTGACTTCTTAACGGATATTGACCGTCAAATATATCTGATAATATCGCGACAATGTTCGCTAAAATTAATAGCCAATGAGTAGGTTAGATTATTTCCATAACTTTCTTATTAAACGCTATGCATGCTACGGCTCTTCCATAACCTATTCCTCAGCACATCAGACCACAGACAAACTAACCATGAATGTCAAATTGACAGATTCCGGACCGTTCTGAAACTGTCGATCCTAAACGCAATTTATTTGTTGTATGTAGTTGGAATAAAAATCGATTCAATAAATTGCAATAAATTAGTTTATCAGGGAAGTTTCCTGTGGCTGTGTATAAACACGAAACAATTTCTTTAATTGTAGGCATAGAGAATTCAATCATAGTACATTTTATTATATCACTTTTGGTAAGAACGAAAAGACTAGTACAGAAAGTGCAAAATGCATGAAATAAATAATTAAGAATTAAATTAAATGTAATTGTTTAATTATTTCATAAGATTCAAGTATTTAGGTAACATTTTTGTACAGAATAAATTTATCTTTATCTTTAATTTACATTATAAATATAAAGCATATAAAGGCAGTTTCAAATATTCCGTGGCGAAAATTTGGAACAATGTAACCGTCACCTGTGCGTTCTTCACAATCCGTTTATACTTTCAATATTAAACTTAGAGAGCACATTTTAATACTGCAAAATACGCCTGACGAAATTATATTTGTGTAACATAAAGACACATAAGACAGAGTGAACTATTTGAAAACGCAGTAGGCAATTTTATTTTCATATATTAATTATGTTATTTAATATTGTACTTATTTTAATTCGCGTCCACATTTTTTATTTTCCTTCTTATTTGATTTTTAATTTTATTTGTTTTTTTTTTGTATAAATCGGCCACTTCGAAAACCAGCCACTGAAAACCAGCGCTGTAATGGTTCCGCCGCAGTATTTGCTAAGTTGGATCCTTTTCAGTGCAATACACTTTAAACATAAAATCATAATATTGTGTAACATGTGTTTGTGTTGAATACATGTTCTTTCTTTCATTTAATAGCATTTTAATCTTAGAGTCTATGCACACCATTGACCTACATGCATACGGCGTATTTCACGCACGGCGCGCCGATGACGCGCTGGTGACGTGCGTAAACGCGATTGAAATGTGATTTAGTCGCAGCGAGTAAACCTTTGCACACGTTGCAAATTCAGTGACGCCGTAAACGCGCGTCAGCTGCGCGTATACGTGACGCAGATGCGCTGTAGTCACGCGTATGTATGGCGCATTTTGATAGTTTTAGTCTCGTTTGTTAATTTCAGTTACTTTTTCAATAAAGCAACTACATGAAATTCTAAGAGTGAACTCCAGTGGAGTACCTATATAAGCTTCTTGCTTGCAATGCGATGTTTGCGCTCGTTTAAATCGACTGAAACGCGCGTAAAACGCGATACAGACGAGCTTCGAACTTTTCGCGTCTGTATCGCGTTTGAATCGATACAAATGCAACAATCTGTTCTTTGAGCTTCTACGGCACTGTATAACGTGTGTCGTCGGCGCGTATAAAATACGTAGAATGCATAGGTTCTTAGACTATGGAAAACTATTTCAGTATAATATGATTTCACATGAATTTTGACAACGTCAGAAAGGATACATTTTTTCACGTTTTAGTACCTAATATTTCAAACCTTAAGTAGTTATATTTAATGAAATTATAGAAAAAATATTTCCCAACTAGAAAATGTCTGTTCGCATCGTGATCGCCGGAGAGTCACAATGTGACATGTTTGCTGAATGTTGTCTGATTGCTGACCATCTGTCTCAGACACTGCCCCAATTTTGTTACGAACGCATCGAGCAGCCGGTATTAGAATGGCGGGTATGAGCTTTGTATCTTTTAGACTGTTAACTTACACACACCGACTATGTTTTTGTCGCCTTCATTTTCTGCTCAAAACTACTGCTAGTTAAAATAAAAAAATTGCTGGAATTGTTTAAGTAGTAACCTTCAATTTTGTTATAATATAATTCTATTATATTTGTTCAGACTTGGTTGATGAAAATAAACATAAAGAATGGATGGCATCATCAAGAATCTCCTATCGTGTGGAAGGAGTGTTTAATGAAAGGCAGCAAGGCTTATTACATTGGATCAGCACCGGACTTCTTGGAATATTGTCATTCTTATTATTTGTTAGACATGTTCATCTCGGCAGATAAATTTAAAGGCTTAGTTGATAATTTCAAACAATTTGAACGTAAGCTTCAAATGGACCGAATAGACGTAGCAGAAAAATCATCAGAATGTCCAATAGCAGAGGAAGTAACGTCTCCTAAGCAAACATTTGTCATCTGCATATCAGGTGCCTCTTGTCCTTTAACGATGTATTTGATAAACGGACTCCTGGAGTACTCTCGAGGAAATAAAACTATATCAAAAATTTACATGTATGATGAAGACTGTTCTGAGGAATTCGTGCAATACATTGAAGAGGAATGCAGTTACGTCGGGACAAAACATCCTGGAAAAGTTCTTAAGTTTGTTGATAAAATTGGATTGGGATTAACCCACGCCGATTTAATGATAATTATGGATCATGTTCCTTTCGAGTAAGTTTGTTTTCTGGCGTTTACAATATCTTTATATTTATGTTAAAAATACGTTTTTGATTTTTATACAAACCATGATTTATTGAAACATAAATTTGTTTCAGAGAAGATAAACCAATAGGGACATGGTTGGATGAGAATAGGCGCCTGATGTACAATCTCGCAATCATGATTAATGCTTCTGCAAATCGTTCCATTTACATTGTTTTCCCAAACCTGGGTCCAGCCTGTTTTAACGCATCTGTGTTAATGCATCATCTAACTTCGACTATTAACAAAAAGAATGTTGTGGTAGCGACTAACGATATAGGCTTGGGTATGAGTTCGACAATAGCTGAAATAGCTGACATACCATTGAGAAACATGTATACTTCGCCAGTTTGGGGATTTGTGGGTATAAACCATTTGGCTGATGTCAGAACAACAGTTCACAAGTATAATTCTTTTGAGCCTTATTCAAGGTACAATAAAGTTCGAAATTCATCATTAAATATCGGAGTTGTCACACCAGATATACGCACACTGGAATACTTAATGTATTTCGATGAAACTTTATGGGTTAAAATCACAGAGAAAAACGTACGTATTGTGTTGTAATAGTACGCGAATTAAGCTATTCAGCTTGCAGAATGTTCTAAAGTCATGTTTAATTTTCAGCAAGTCCTGGATAAGGAAGAGATCCCATTAAACAAAGCAACTGCTGTGAATATGTTAATAAAGCTATGGCTGCTTGAGGCAGAACCAGATTATATTGTAAATTTAGGAATTCACTGTGACGGTAAAACTTTTGATTATGTTTAAACTACAACTTAAAAAAATGTGGATCAGTTCCTACGTTTGTGTATGAATATATATTTTTTTTGTGATTGCAGGTAGTTTTGGTCTGACTTTTAATGGAATTTTTTCTCAACCAGCACGATGGACAGGTAAAGAATGGGTCCCGGCGTCTAATTACATGTTACCAAAAGATCCCTATGTCAAATTACCTTATTTGCAAAACATGGCCGAGATAATGATGAAGTTAAAAAAAGGAGAACTACCACCTATAGTTCCTTTTTATCCATGTTCATGCAAACCAAAATTGATTCATAAGAAAAAGATTTGTTAAGGCGATTTTTGTTCGTACTAATAATAAAAATTATTTTATCGATAATGCTGTGGTTGTTTCTGAACGTAAACGATCTATTTGTTGAATGAAGAAATGCAGCGCATCACTAGCTTGAGTACGACCGAAACGAAACAGTACGAAAGTAAACTTCATCAAGTAAGGTTGTATTTTGAGTTTTCAGTGGAATGTTATGACGTGCAGCGACTGTCTTTGTTTCAATAATAACATTGATGTGGTTTACTATCCGATTCTGAGTTAAAATAATGTGATAGATCGCTGGAATTGCGATCGAGCACAGTGATTTTGCGCTATGAATGTCCACAAAGCATGATCGTGCCAATTGGAGTCGTCAGCATAGTTAGGTGTCGTCGTTTAAGTTTAGTGAATGTGCCAATAATGAGATAGTGGTGTGGTGTGATGTGGCTGTGGGACCTGTGGGGAGTGCTGTGGGCTGTGGAAGCTGTGGCGCGGCTGGCGGCGGGCTCTCCGCTCGAACCTTCGAACACTCCGCAAGGTGAGAGGCGTAGCACTAGCTGGCACTGCCAATCGCCACCTACGCAGCCTCGCTTTAACCCTGCATGCTTGCTACAGCCTTAATAACCTTCGTTATGTTGATAATTTTTTCTATAATAAAATCCCTAATTTGTACTTGTAGAGATACTTTAGAATTTATATTATGTTATTAATAATTATTTTCGAAAAAAAGTTTTTGTTTCATTTTACTGGCACAGTTAAATTACAGTTAAGTCGAAAACTAGTGTGATAACTTTATAAGTTAGAAAAACATAATGTTTACTGTCTGTCACAGTAGCATTTGCAAAAAATATCGTTGGTCAAGGTTGTGGAATTGGTAATAAGGTGGCTATTGGGAACAACAGTTTAAGTGAAATATCACATAAAATAATATAATAGCCCTTTGGGCCCTAGGGGCCCTTTTCCCCATTATTAAGCGACTGTACTCTTTGTTGATATCATTTAAAGCTAAAGAACTCTGTTTAGGTTATCTAAAGACCATTCTGTAAGTTTTGATTTCGCTCATAGTTATTTATTAAAGACTAAAATAAATTTAAAAAAGTTTATTTCTTTTAACCTATGCCAAGTTTACAATAGTTTTGACACCAGCAATGAATACTAAGGCTAACTAAATTTTTTTTGATTTTGCATTTTAAATTCAAAATTAATAAATATAATGATGAATAACTATTAGTAAAAAAATCATTATCCCTTTGACCGCCATGGACGCTTTAACAGGTCAATGAAATCCTTTAATTTTCAATTGAAATCCTTTAATTTTCAATTGAAATTAATAAATATGAAGATATTCCTTGTGTTATTTGTATATTCTAGTTAAGTATGGATTCATTGTTGCATTTTATTTTTACTTATGTGCTTCTTTCACATAGGAGAATGGAATTAATTTAAGGAAATTCATAACATGTCACATCACTATAAGAGTTGGCGTCTAGGGAACGAAACTAGTTTTTGTCAGTGGCTGTCAAAGCGTTAATATATGTTTGAAAATTAAAAAGCTATCGCTAGTTTCCTTTTTGCAATCTTTAAGTCAGCATAGTGTTCACTGCTGGTGTCGACTTCATGTAAGTATTTACTTGAGGCAGGAGTACCGCTTTTCCAAATTACAGGAAAATATGACTAGCATTGTGTTTTAATTTTGCCGTGTATTACTTTTATGGCAGTAATTGTTTCGGACAGAGAACGAGAGTAGATCCCCAGGCTTAGCTGTAGATATAATGGTTAGTACATGGACCAAGGAGTCTTTAGTAATGACATAAATCGACTCATCCGAAGAACAGAGTCCTACGTGATTATACAACGAAAAGAGGATAAATGCATAATATCTTTATTCCAACCAAGGCCTAGCTTTAGGCGTTTATCAGAAATTTTGTATCTTATTTCGTTTTGGAAATAAAAAGTCGAACAACAATCGATCTGATATCCCTAACGATGAACAATGAACGAAATCTAGTGTCATCTGAGAATAAGCAGTCCTGCACATAGGACTTTGTTCTACGGATGAGTCGAAATACTGGTGGTGGTTACTTTAAGACAATTTGGTAGTGGCCTTTAGTATGTGATATATATTATCATCAATACAGCCACGATTTCACCCACTGCTCAGTATGATTTGATATATATTGACAATTTGTATTACTTTAATTGACGTAAAAAATATTTCGCTTCAAATTCACACAGACATTTGGTAAAATATATTTTCTATAGTTATCAGTTGTTCCAGCTCAGTCGCTTTACGGAAAGAGAAATTGCCTAACCGTTTTAGGTCAGTGTGATATTGGGATTTAGTGTTTTATTATTCAGTCATCTTATTTAAGTAATTATTTGTAAAACCTTTGAGTGTGGAATGTTCTGCAGTGAGATAGGTAGACCGTCGAAAGTTGCGGGACTTAGATGAGTGATATTAACTCAAGATTAAGATGGAAAGCACAAAGAATGGGAGGTGAGGTAGCAGATTCATGATTTGATTCAAATTATTGGAGTAGATTTATTATGCTAAAAAAAAAAAGATTGTTTATATTTTTTTAAATAAAATTGCAGGTGGTTTATGTTGTTATGGTTGGTGGTTTGGATCAATATGATAATATTTCAATTTAAAATACATTGTTACTTACGTAAACAATAACACGAGAAAATTTATTACCTACTAATGAAACTCACGGTTAAAGAAAAATTCTCGACGACAAGTCTATTTATAGTTAGATCTTACTTATTACTTACTTATTAACCCGAATATCTCTAATATTCGGGTTCTTGAGTAATCGTCGCCAAAAGTACCTAGCGTATAAGGTTGCGTCCATGAAGTGTCGCAATAAGACATCGTAACGGCCGAATACGTGCATTAAATTCGGAACTTGATTGCTGTCGCAGATTTTTGCGTTGTAACCTGCCTTAGCTATTGTGTGTGATTGCTGTCAAAATGAATAAACGACTCTCTGGTAATTGCTCAATGATTGACAAAAGTGGATTGTATCCACGATTATCTGAAAATCCCTACTATCAAACGGGAAACTAGGATCATGACAAAAGCCTACAAGGTCAGAATCTCACAACATGGAGACAGACTTGCACAAGCTCTAAACGATCCACTAAGTGACAGACAATTGAGGAAGCCTGCTCATGGTCCATGGACCGTCTTAGAAAGTCATTAAAAAAAACCAATGACAGATAATAAATTAGTACTCTCTATTAAAGGTTTGTCTAAATCTTCGATCCAGCGGAAGTAGTTCGTAGCAGAATAATGAGGACCGATGGCGTTATTCCGAGGGGGTCGGCCGCAAATCCCAACAAATTGCTCCCTCCGACGGTAATCTGGCTGAGAACCGAGCTTCTTAACTCAGACGTTTTCATTTGACGATTTTCACAGTTTCACAATACTGTTTATCCACCGAATTAGGTGCTTGATTGCTAATCTTTAAAGAGGTAATTTGATATCACGATTAGGACGTGATAGAAAAAAAAATTATAAGAGAAAAACAATATTTTCACTTTATCATCAAAATCGATTTTGTAAAGAAATCTTTGTCAATTTTCTTTGAAACAACGTTCAAGAACCACTGCCAATAATATATCTATAATAATATATCAATAATATATATATACAATAATATATATATCGGATCGAAGGAATTTTTTCTGAGTGTTTTTTCTGAGTGTTCGATCTTTGTATTAATAATTATAACAAACTAGTGGAGTAATTTCACAAAAAATAATTGAATATCAATTCAATAAAAATTTAATTAATACAGTGAATAGTGACATCTCTCGCCAGGACTGGTAGCTGTAAAGGTACTAACTGGGTGATAAATCTGCAATAGATTTCTCATAGATGGCGCTACGACTAAAAAGTCGTTGAAAGACCAAGTACAAAGACACGACGCAAGCACATAGAAAAATTCGTGAGGTCCGTTGGTTCGTTCCGTGGCTTAGTTGGTATAGCGTTTGGCACGCTATGCAAGAAGACGTCGATTCGAATCCGACCGGATCGAAGGAATTTTTTCTGAGTATTTTTTCTAAGTGTTCGATCTTTGTATTAATAATTATAACAAAATAATATATCTTTTAATCCAAATTTTAATCGAAATCAAAAGACGAAGTCATTCTTCTTTTAAAACAAATATTGTGATAATGTATGAAGCCAGCGTTTCATATTAATAATGTTATCATAAGTCAACCTTGTCTTATGTGTGTAAATAACGTCCTGTGCAGAGGTTAACTGTGGTATATATACTCGTTCCTTGGAGAAGGGTCAGTTAATTCAGAAATGTAAGTCAGTTATATGACATCACAGCTCTATCGGAACGACTGGAATCAGCGCTAATGGGTGCAAGGTAATACAACACCTTTTTCATATCTGTGGAACACATGACAGCGTACTGTATGTTCATCCTTCCGAAGCCTCATTTTCGCCTAAGTGTCCCTACCTAAACGCATTAGTTCTCGATACGCCGTGGAATGTTCTCATTTTCTTTTAATCGAGCTACATTGAGCATTTTCGGATTTCAATTTGTTCCGGGCTCGTTAAGGGAATCGGTTCGTTATTGCGGTCGGGTGGGGCCGATATAATTTGTCTAAGGAGCGCCTACGGTAAATCGCTCCCCGAATTGATGGTTTATTAGTTCACGAAAAGATTTCAACGAAAAGGTATTAACTCCGATTCTATAGGTATCTGTAATTATATACGGCGCCATTCGCGAGAAGTGTACTTAAAAACATTTCATAAAATTACACTCCACTTCTTCCTGGCAATCGAGATCTAAGATAGCTGTCGAGTTTTCTTTTTGATTGTCACGCCGTACAGTTTTCCAGGCCTCGGTTGCGCTTTCAATTCTTCGTAACCTTATCTCACGACTCTCGGACAAGAATGCACGACTGAGCATAAAGAATCCTAATCCAGCTTCGGTGTGACAGAGGTCATTTCTCTGCGAATCAACGGCGGCTTTTGTCAGAGCTCATACGTGCATTGAATCTTGCAAAAAATATTCATAGTGGCTTGTCACGGCGCAGAACGTGTTTCCGCGGCGACGACTAACTAATGAATGTTACATAAAGGTTGCGCTGTGCGTCGAAGCCCGAGGCCCGACTCTGAGCGAGGCTTGCAGAGTGAATAAATGAGATCAATCAGCTGCTGATTGAAACAATTGAATGCTATATCTGATTGCGTTGCCTTGAGGTATTTACCTGACGATGCATAATTCCTTGGAAGCTTCCTTCTTTATACAATGATTTCAGGTTGCGTATCTGATATCCATTGATCTCTCTGGGTGGATGAACCTTAAAAAAAATTCGGGGGGAAAAATTTGACCCAGTTGACTGCTAAATTGAAATGAATGATAATTTTCCTGATTTATATTTGTAAATAATGTTTTATAATCGACTGGCAAAAGAGGTGAAAGGGCTGTCAAGAACTTTTTAACAAACATCTAAAAACATGGGACCGGTATTACTGGGTTTTTTGGAATCAGGCGTTGCGCGCAGATGCCAGCTTGGGCTAATTAATCTCGCGCCCAACAGGATTACACCCGGTTAGTAGATGAAAGCCGTTGTTTATTAAGCAAATTGGAATGAGGTTGTCCCCGTGCCATTTGGCTGTGTTACATTAATTAGTAATTATGTTAAAAAAAGACTGTACCTTCATCGTCGGAAACGGATTTTAAAATAAGGGAATTTATGCACACAGTTTTGCTTTTGTTAATTATCCCAGACGGTATCTTGTACCATTAATGGCTCTAGAATACGTATTCATGGTTACCGAGTTATAGAAAACGCGATATCACATAAGGTATCTTGTCAGTCTTTTTTAGGTGCCGGCTACTCATGTCTGCAACGTACCAGACTAATACCAGCTTTACACCATATTTGTCCATCTGAGTTTTTTGCTGGAGAGCAAGTTACTTTTATATCATTAATTGCAGGCCCCTTTGATCAATAATGGCTATTGGACTATATATATAGACAGAAAAGAAGAAAGAAAGACAGAAAATGCATTTATTTATTTACCACAATGTCACCACGGAAGAAAAACAAAACATCAACGTAAAACACAAATAAATAATTACAACAAAAACATAAACTAACCAAAAAATATGTAATGTAGTATAAAAAAGAACACTAGACATAAAAATACCTCATGTGGTGTCAGCCGAGGTAACAAAAGGGTTACAAGCTCTATATTTGCTGGAAAACGCAATACGTTTCCAGCCCTGATTTTCAGTTAAGGCCCTAAGTGAGGTCACGGAAGAACATACGCAAGCATTATTACTTGAATAGGTTAAAGTAAGAAACATATGCAATGACATATGTACTACGTGTATATATTATATATAATTTTTACATTGTATGTATACAAGCAATGCAACGATTTTAATAGCTTTTAAATAAAAGACAAATTTTTGAAATAAAAATTGGTAGCTCATTATGAAAGTAATGACGATGTAATAGTTCGACATTATTGGTCATTAACTTGACTATTATATTTTCTCATTTATAAAAAAACAAAAGTATGCATTACTTTTTTTAATCTATCTCTCATGCTGGATAGACCATTGTCCGGGAAATAACCGAAAGCAAGTTTTTGTGCACCAAATAAGTTACCTTTCTAATGGTCCGGTCGGTCGGTTACGGCACAATGGGCCGGCGGGGGCGCTGGCGCCGCGCGGGACATGTCCATTGCATAACAAGGCTTGCGTACGCGCATCCGTCTAACGGGACTCTGAAGAGGAGTCAACACTCCGCTGTACATTTCCATGCTCATTTTTATGTATGAATATTAATTTTTTTCTGCAATACCAATAATTGGAAATGAAACTATTTTTTTCGTGTTTGTTTTTTCAAACCAACCATTAGTACGTGATTTAGACCCGAAAAAAAGTAATTTTTACTATGTGTAGCAATCGCGAAAACTAAGTATAAGTAACTCGAGGAATATAAGTAATATTTTTAACCGACTTGAAAAAAAGGAGAAGGTTCTCAATTTGACTGTTTTTTTGTAAGTATGTTACACGACTGCTCCGACATTTGTGAACCGATTCCAATTATTCTTTTGTTGGAAAGGCTGAATTTAAAAAAGGCAAATTAGGGGATGAACCCGGTTTATTGGATTTCACCTACTTTCTGTTAACCGATTTCAATAAAACTGTGCAAATGAAAAAACAAAGAAAAATCCTTCGATCGACTAAATTCGAACTAATTTGAGGATCCTGTCGTCGTCTGTTTAGCCCAGGGTTTCTAAATGTGTGGTCCATGGACCCCTAAGTAAACAGTGTAATGAACGCCCTCGCACCTTCTTTACTACACTCGGGGAACGCTTTATCGCAGGTGGTGATTAGAACGCCAAACATACCTACTAGGTCTTTCGACTTACTGTAACGAGAGTCCGGCAAATAAACCGGAGCATTGGCATCCAATATCGTCTGTTCAACCAACGTACTGGCCCACCGATGCACAAAAAACACCTCTCTGCTCTCTCTATGTTTGACTTTTTCATCATAACACATTTCTTATCTCTACACTACAATCGAATCAAGCCTAGATAGCTCGTCCGATCACACACCTGTCATTCTCACACTGAGCACAACGGCTGTATTGCTTGAAACTATACGAAGAAAACTACATAATCACAAGACCGATTGGGACTCGTTTCATGAGTACCTGAAGAACCATATCGACCTTATGCTTCTTATGAAAACTGCAGCAGATATTGACGAAGTGTTTACCTACATAACTAATCAGCTCCAAATCGCTGTTTGGGAAAATGCTCCAGTGGTTAACCTTAGATTTTTCCATCCTCTAAGTGATTAACCCAAACTTGAAACCAACTTGCCTACCAACGCTAATTAAGAATAAAATTATATATGGGCTCTGACATTTTGAGAGGGGTACATGACTAGAAAAAGGTTAACAAACACTGGTTTAGCCTGTCAATGTCAAGAACACATATAGTTCTCATGCAGGTTAACACTGCGGTTTATAACAACAGCTTTATGCAGTTATAGAACCGTATTGCTATAAAATGTTAAACCATACCGGTCTATTCACCACATACACATTTATGTTTCCATCATTGCCAGTTTCAATGTAATCTCCGTTTTGCAAGTGCAAATTGCCATACGTATTGAGAACATTACAGGCTTTGTCTATGTTATTGGTTGTGTTACTGGGAAGTCGTGGGAATACAGTAAGACCCCGAGGCAGTGTTGATGCTTCGTGACCTATTGGTCAAAACGTATACGATAATAGATACCGCACGTACTCTAATAATATCAGAGTTATTGCAGTCCAAGTTTCGCAGCTAATTGAGTTTTAGGGAAGCAACGATTGCATTGTCGACGTTCTATTTAACACTTTAATTTTGTCCATCATGAGTTGGCTAATGCAATTAGTAGTTGGTTTAGAGAAAAGCCACATGGGCGTTGCATCGTCTCAACACTATGATTTCAACGTACTAAGTTGCTTGCTGTTTTAACGCATGTGTGTATATATTTAAGAGGGAGCAGAGGAAACATTCCTAATCTTCGATTTGATTTTAGAGGGGTATATCCACTTTAAAGTAAAAATAAAATATTGTATGAGTAACTACACGATATATTCAAGCATAGACACTAATCAGAAACATAAAACAATAAAGTTTCCTCGATAGATAAAAATCACGAAATGACATATAATTTTCACATTTTTTCGATTCATCCTCGAAATGTTGCAGGTTATTAGGACAAAAATTAGGTAATTAATTATATTTATGCATGATCGAGAACTGTCACTACGGATTTTTTTAAATCCCTTTAGTTTTAGAGTTATTCCGCTAAAACGAATTTGGTACTTTTAATGCGCAAAATTCAACAGCTCCTGTCGCATGTCACGCGAACTTCAGGCATATATTTGTCTCACAAATGTGGGCGGAGCCAACGTCAAAACTTTTTTGGCATGCTCCCTCTTAAGGCATGTGGCATAACGCAACGCCGACGCAACGCATCGTGAGTGTCGCACGTAACCGTTCAGATTGAAGGTTCTTATTTGCAAGAAAATAATTATATTGTCTCCGAGAAAAGAGTACCGTAGTTAAATTGGAATATGGAATAAAGGTAGTATAGCTCTGATTTTCTTGATTTAGATGGTAACATTTATTTCACGTATTTTAGACAGCAGCATTCCGTTTACTATGATCCTGACATACATCTTCTCTCATCACCAAGCATCGGCTTGCTTTTTCGTGATCTGGGTTTTTTTAAGACGGCCTTAATTTATCGCGTTCTAGATTTTCACGATTGTTACATAAAGGAATTGAAACAATTTTTTTTTCGGATCTAAATCGTCAAATTTACGCCATGGATGTAAAGGATCCGAAAGGTTGGTTTGTTTGAAAAAACAAATCTACGCAATTTAGATACGAAAAAATAGTTTTATTTCCTATGTCCTCAATTATTCGTGGTAAGTTCGCCTTGGTCAGCTCTTACAAAGTTGCCAACTCACACTCTCCTTATGAATCTAGCTCAGCAGCTTGATTTTGATTGTTTCTCCCAATCAGAAACTGCGTCTTTTCCGAGTCGAGGCGCTTAATTGCGATTCACAACTGGCCGATCGGAAACTTTGACATTTCTAATCGGGACAATAGTTGATTTAACTTACAAATTAGAAAGATATAGTAGGAATCAGGTTCATCTTCTCGCTCAGAAACCCATCTGATTTCGAGACTACCCGATCGGATCAATTCCAATTTGAATCAAAATCAGGCCGCTGTACTCTCGTTCCTCGTCTGACGTCCGGCCGAAGCAATTACTGTGAAATAAGTAATAGACGACCAAACGAAAAGAAGCATGATGCGAATGAAGCTTCATACTTGACATTGTGTATTAATTTGGTCGAGTTTTACTTATTTGACATATAGTAATTGTTTCGAGTAATTGTTTCGGATGGATGTCGGACAGAGAATGCATGTAGACCCCCTGTTTCGTCAATATTCTTTCAATCATTCTCTGTACATACGAATTAAATCATATCTCTAGTAATAGGGCGACGAGGAATTCAAAGTAGGTACAGTTGACTGCAAAATGTACTCCTCGACAGAGATCATAGCATTTAAATCCGATTTATAGATAATAGAGCTACGAATGTCTTATGGAAACAGCGTTATAAATACTGGGACGTGCAATTCTACTAAAATAGCAAATTGTGTTAATAAAGTGAGAAATCAGACTTTAATACATTTAATATCTAGTAATGTGCCAGAGAACCACACAAGTTACCTGGTCTCTAAGGAATTCCCTGTACTATAAGTGCCAGAGTGAAAAAGCTCATTTTCCTATTTTTTTTATGATACAAAACGACGTGACGAACAAGTCGTGTGCGTGGTTGTAAGCCTGTCCATAATAGTTGCAGTGTCGCCCAGAGCTTCAAATCGCAAACACCTGTGGGGCAATGCCATTGTGCCCGTCTCCTTGAGACATAAGTTGACAAGTCCCATGTCACCAGCACTGTTACCCTTCAAAACCGGAACGCAGGAATGCTCGCATTACTGCTTGGCGGCAGAAATAGTGGCAATACTCCCTGGATTAACTCTTTCGCAACTACTGCTTCTAATTGGTGTTGCGTACCGTTGGACCCCCGAGGTCATCAATTAAAACACCTTTAGAAGTTCAATACAGCATTTTATTTAAAGTTGTGATTTAAGTACAACAACATTTTGCGGATGTTTACACAGGTTTGTAATCCCAAATAGGAGAATGTAGTTATATGGACACAACTGGTTCTTAACCCACATATGTTCAAATACGGCCTTCTTTCTAATTTGCTTTTAGTGTAGCCGTTTGCGCGAGCGCATTGTGCCCGATTCGTTGCGGTCTCGTTCACGATCGCACGAACGGGCCCTCAGCACGTTCGTTTCGCAGATTTCGTGAGGCAAACTGACGAAACAGGGAAGTTTCGTGTGGTAGATAAACGCTATTGCGTGGTAGGGAATCATCTTTAGAATTATGCAAATCACGGGTCAATGAATTCTCTACCATCATTATAAAAACGATTCTACTTCATAGATTTTATCGGAAATTTTCCATAAATATTGCAATGGAGATAAAACGTGGAATGCTATAGGTTCTTAATCTGCTACAAAGTAAACATATTTTCATCCATTTTTAACATCGGAACCTTGGGCGAATATTCTCTATAAAAATAGCGAGTAATTGATTCATAACCGAGCGGAAGGCATACACCGCAGTTCCTGCGTTGAACGTTGAACTGACATCAAAGTGAACCTCTGGTAGGCTTGCTTTATTATTATTATTACTCGCAAAACGGCTACCGGTTCCGCTAGTTTTACTGCGCGTTTTGACGAAGGCTGCCTTGTGTTGCCATTACCTTTAGTCTGTAGACAAACACGTTGACCGTTTACTACATCTTCTGTCCCACTATACTGCTATTAAATGTTTAATAAAGCTTTTTTATGGAATGGTGTTTGGATTACTATATTAATATAGTATAATAGCCTTGACATTCGTAAATGTCTTATTGTACAACAGTCAAACGATATTAAAATAGTATAATCAACTTTGAACGCAAAACTATATAGCATCAACCCTTCATAACATGAAATAAACTGGAACAACAGTCGTCTTGTCCATCAAAACAAGGAAAGTATACTAATACCTTAGAGCA